GTACGGGTACAGAAGACAGCGAAAGCCTCGACGAGTCCTTCGAGAACATCTCTGCACCTTCTTCCTTCCTCTCTTCTTCCTTCCTCTCTTCTACCACCCTCACACCACGCCAACCCCCACTTTCGTCCGGAAAGCCTGCGCTCGGGCTAGCGACTAAGCAGTCGCCTCCGCCACCACCGTCCTCTCAGCCCCCAAGCTACCCCAGCGTCCAATCCACTACCCACGAGGCTCGGCGAACAGCTTTGCCTCTCACAGCTCTCTCCCTCACCCGTAACCTCCGGCGTAGGCTCACCAGTAACCCGCACCCCCTCCGCTAGCAGTTCCTCCATCTCCCTCCAAAGTACACGCCGTGTACCACCCCCACCGCCCCATCGGCAGCGGCAGCAGCAGTGGCAATCCCAACCACAAACGCCCCACGTCCGCGCTCGCGCCCGCCATCAGCACGCACATCCGTCCAATCAACCGCAACGACCACCTCTGACCGCTCATCACTCTTCTCACAAGGAACGACCACCTCCCGGACATCCATATCCTCCCGTGCCTCGGTGTCTGCATCAGCCTCAACGCCCACATCCGCTCCAGGAGCAAAACAACAAGCACAGACGACCCGCGCGCGGTACGACGCGCTCTTTACCGCCAACGTGCGCTCACACACACCCAAACTGTCACCGCGACCCACTCCGATGCCCGCGAAACGCCAGAACGCAGGCTGGCGTGGGCTGTCCATCGACGTGCCGCCGCCACCGCCACTGCCCATATCCGCGTCATCATCACCTACGCCACCCGGATCGGCGCTGACAGAAAAAGAACTGGGGCCCGACGCCAGACTGGACGGACGGCTCGTGCGCGAGATATGGCTCAAGTCTAGGCTCGGGCCGCAGCGACTGCGGGGTATCTGGTGCGTCCCTTGCCTTCTCCCACTGTCGTTCGGCAGCGCTGAAGCAACCTTTTTTTTTTTTTGGTTTGCTTTTTTATAGGAGTGAGTGCGACCCGGATGGGACTGGCTCGCTTGATCGCGACGCGTTTGTGCGCGGGATGTCGCGAATCGATGAGGAGTTGCGTCGGGCGCAGGTGCTCGGTCGAGCTCGTGCTGGCTCGAGCGCGAGTCCGCGCGCACCGCCGGTTCCTTCTCGTCCGATTCTCCGGTGAACTTTTGACGGATACGACTCTCGGACGTTGCTGTCATATCTACGTACAATACCAACACTATACCCTACTCTGTTGTGCTCTCGCTCTAATAATGACAATACTTCGTACGGACGGCGGGCCGTGTGTGTACTGTAGATGAGATTGCGTGGATCATTAGTTCGCCATGAGGGACAGATAATTGCGACTCTAATAGACTCTAGACTCATGAAAGCATACCGCGCGCCGCCCCACCACCAGATGTCCCGCTATATATCTGCGCCAATAAACCAAGCACACCCCCGTCTGCACCCAGCCCATCCTCATCTTCCTCCTCCTGCATCGACCGCGCGCTGACACCCCCACCCCGCGGATGCCTCCGCGCACTACCATCAACATACGACTCTCCCAAAGCACTGCGTACATCACCCTGCAAATCCGCCCCAAGTTCCCCACTGCCACTGCCGATCCCACCGCTCGGCACAGGCACGCCTTCCACCGCCGACGAGGAAGGATGGGAGGAGGCTGCAAGTCCGCGAGAGCGACGGATCCATCCGAATCGCCGAGAGAAACGCTCTGCGCTATACCGGATTGGTATACCGTCCCCGTCGACTGCCCAAGCATCGCGGACGCCGTGCCGAATCCTACACCTCCAACGCCGAAGGCAGACCCGCCGCGCCGCCGCACGGCTGCGGTTTGAGACTCGTGTAGCGCGCGCTCGTACTCCCGCGTTCGGTCCGTTGTGGTGGCAGTGGTGGGGCGAGGCGTCTGATCATCCGTGGCGCGTCGTGCGGAGAGATCTGCGATACGCGAGAGGTACAGTGAGCCGGAAGGGTCGGCTGGCATCCACTCCGGATGTGCCGCTTTGAATGACACGAAAGACTTCTCCATCTTTCCGTCATTGGACATCAACCTCTCGTCGGAGACTTTCGTCGGAGCACCAAACTGTCATATGTAACATGCGCCGAGGTTATACAGTAAGCGGGAATGAAAAGGTAAAGAAAAAGTAAAAAAACGGACCTTGACATTACCGTGTCGCTGGAAGTCAAACACGGCAAAGCTGCAGACGTACCCAGCCCGTCAACGTGAACAGTAAACTCGCGGAAAAAGTCGACGATAGCCGGCGCGCACGGGGGCAACGCGAACCAAAGGATGAACGGCGTCAACACAACGCTGGCAAGCTCCGTCGCGAAAGTGACCGCCTTCATCGCGAAAAGCTCGCCAAATTGCGTGTGCACGGCCTTGGAATGCAACTGCTCACGCCACTCGTCTGGAAGGTAGTGCGTGTACTGGACAATAGCCTTCATAAGTACTTCGGAGTCGAATACCCTGTTCTCTTCCGGGATCATCCGCGCGCAATCGCAAGGATACCACCGAAGACGGAAAGGTAGAAGAAGACCGAGCGGTGGGGAGTAATCTCGAGATGGATGAAAGGTCAGGGTCGATGACGGTGGCGAGAAGAAGGACGGCAGCAAAAGAGCCAGCCACGAAAGCCGCGAATCTGGCAATTGCGTCAATTAACTGAACGACATCTGGATGGGGTCTCACCTCATAATGATCGCTAGCTTTTCGTTAGGAAACTGATTCATGTACATGTTCGCAATAGGGTATGATTCCTTGAGACGTCGCTCGAAAAGGTGAGGGAGCTCGTTGAATTCCCGGAACTTCCACTGCGCAAAGGGAGTATATGTGCGACCACTGATGAAGACGGGTTCTTGTACGATTCCTATTTCTCCCTATCAGATTGTCCCCTGACGACAGAAAAAGAAGTACTTCGAAGTATCGGAAAAACGAATACATAAGAGATAGACCACGATGAACGGCGCGAAGATGGCGTTCAGAATACCCATGAAAATGAAACGCCTTCTCAACCTGCGCACCCGCGTCAACTCCGGCCTTGGCATGACCCTTACAAATTACGCACCCATCGATTAAGGCGTTTCGGTTTTTGCTCTTCAAAAACACCTTCCTCACCCGTCCCCTTCTATCGAACAAGTATTCCATCAGGCAAAATTGGAGATTCCATTCAAGGGCACGCGTGAGTGTGCGGCCCTTGCCCTCCTCTGGAGGCCAACCGCGCTGGATTGGGACTCTCAAGTCAAGTAGCTCTTTGTTGAAAAGCGCATGAGGAAATTTTCTTGCCGCATGATACGATTGGCGATATCGTGCGCGTCCAGTTTAGCACCCTCGCTCACGCGTGGACGCGAAGACGACGAGAGTTCTGTGAGTGGATTAGAGTTACGAATGGCTCCGATGCGTCGGACGACTTCGGGCCAAGAGATAGTCTGGATATCTTCCTGAAAAAAGGCGTTGGGAGATAGACAGCGCGGTATAGGTGAAAGGCGCACGTCGGGTATTTGAAGGAGATATGTATAAAAGTAATACATGTCCACGAGGCGCATTATGCTCAAGACAAATGAAGCAATTGCCAAACGTAGAAAGCACAAAACAGCAGGAAGAAGAGAAGCGAAAAGCCCGAGAAACTGTGAAGTAAAGAGGGTGAGAAATGGTTTCTGCGTATTCAGGGAGAAGAAAACGCACCGGGAGACACAGCGCTCGACAACAATATCGGATAGTCGTGTGACTTGATCAGGGTGGATGCGCGAATAATCGACGCAGCGGAGGAGGAATGTTGAAAAGGTAATGACAAACCCGACTGTGCTGGGCTAGGCATTAGCGAACCTCTCTGACACGCGAATGGGCACAGACACAAGGTTCAGCCCCCGTTTGAGAGCAATGGAATATATCCCTTTGCCGTGGTAGTACAGATACACCTCCTGAAGAAACGCATCGAGGTTGTATACGTTCACCCAATTCCACAGCGCACGTTCGTACGCATCCAGTCCGCGCTTCGGATTGGACTGTCCAGCGGTGGGCGGGGATCGAGTGAGCGGACGCTCCACGTTAATCTCCGAGGGGCGTGGTGGCACAGATATCCGTGGAGGATCGACGGGATTGGTGGCGTTCGAGGCCTGACGTTTGTCGCGTGCACGGCCATTGCGCGATAGCGGCGCGCGGCGCGAAGCAGGGGGTTCGATCAGAAAGCTCTGCGGGACTTCACCGTCTGACTCTGACTCCTCCTGTATGCGATCGTCCTCGCGCACATTGGGTCGGAGTAAACTGGCCTCCAAGGCACCGCGGGTGAGGCGTTGCGTAGGGGCCGAAGACGCAGAGGGGGCCTTGGATGTTGAAGTGTGGAGGGCCTGCGCCTCAAGGTCGATATGCTCATGCCTTGGGGACGCGGAATCCGTGTCCTCTTCGTCCTCTTCGAGGACAGACTGGTTGGCGGCCGTGTAGCCCTGGTACGCGCGGCCAGCGGGTTGAGCATGTTAAGGAAAGGGCGAGAGCTGGCGGTGGCGCGTAGACAGGTGGGAAATAGAGCGTGAGGCAGACAAGGAATGGTGGGCAAACGGCGGTTATTGGGTGGGGAGGTCATCGTGTGCTATGAAGGTCTGTGTCGGCGCCTCGCGCGTCTTGGCCGAAAAGAGCCAGACTGAGCCAGTCGCGCTCATTTGACTCGATACTCACGACAAATTCAGTACACGTCACTCATCTGTTGCACTTTTGTCTACATAGCCTCGACATGACTCAATGTGTCTACGCAAACTCGCATCAACCGTACTGTATGACAACTCGTTGTTGTAAAATAAGTGTGAGTCGAAGCGAGTCAGCGACAGGCATCTTCTGTCGACTTGTACCGTCGACATAAAGTCAGGATCATCCCGATAGAGACGACATGCGTAAATCATCCGTTGGCTGTGATACGGGGATAGCCTTCAAACAACAGGTGTCACAGAGCGCCAACGCGAATAGTTAGGGTCCAGCATGTTACGCTTGGAGGGCACGTACGTATCTTTTGCAGCGAGCGTGTCGACGGGCGGATGGCACAGTGGTAGCGCGCTTGCTTCGCAAGCTCCGGCAGGAGTTCCGTTGCATGAGGTCGTGGGTTCAAACCCCACTTCGTCCACATTTTTCTCATTTCTTCCTCAATACCATGCCCTCAATCTCCTGGCGTCACAGCGATTGAGTTAGCTTTTCAGTTTCAATGTTTCGACCATAACTCATGTGACTGAGCTCCTTCACGAGTGTATTTTTCATCAGATTCGGGGTCGAGCCGAGCAAAGCGTGCCAAATCATCGCCGGTCCGAGCCGGCACGACTGCTATCTTTAACGTCCATGCCCCGCCACCTTCGACCTCGTAAGACGCGTCAAAGTTACGCAAGTTTATTTCAAAGTGAAGATGAGCAAGAAAACTCAAGAGAAAACCTACCCGGGCCTTCTCGCCAACTCCCGGACGGACAGCAGGAGGATGATAGTGGTAGTGACTTTGCGCCTCCTGCCCCTGAAGAAGTCGCAAACACCGACGAACATAGTGGTGACGAGGCCTAGAAGATCCTGCGTCTCTTGGGGATGGCATGGACGCAGAGGTTATTCTAGTTCTGAAAGTAGCTCTTCGATGCGGCGCTCCAAGAAGAAGAGCAGCACAAGTCAGGGAAAAGCCAAAAGCACGGGCAGTGTCGCGGCTAAGGGGAAGACGAAGCAGAAGACGAAGGCCATCCGCATCCGCAGGTCGAAGAGCCCCGCCCCCGCTGTAACACCTAATCCAGCCACACATCCATCTACTGCCCCGGCCGCTACACCCATTACGTCCGCCCGCCACGGCTATGCGCTCCCGAACCCGAACGTCCACCACCGCCACCGCCCCGTCCCGCTCTTCTCCGGCCCGACAGCAGCGCCTGCGTTGGCACCTGCACCTACATCCACATCTACGGCGTTGCTCGTCGAGCGCCTGCAGCGCGCGCCGCTACTCTTTGCGCCGAACGAGACCCTGCCGACGAACGCATACGCATCTTCCGCGCTGCTCACGCGCAGAGTCGGAAAGGCATGGGGCGCGGGTGTTGGCGCGGGCCCGGTCTGGCAAATTGTCGAAGATCTCGGGTGGTTCAGGGAAGCCGAGGAGTTGAAGCCTGGCGTAGCGCTCGAGCAACAAGTCAGCGGGGAGGCTGCTGCGGTGGAACCGGCATCGGTGCAGGTCTATGACGAACGCAGGCGGAGGCCAATGGTGTATGAGGATGTTGTTCCTCCGGATGGATGGGCGGTTCCACTTTGCGCCGAGTGTGTCTCCACCTTTCATTCTTAACGAATGAGTCGTGCGTCGGCATTTTGACGCCGTTGTGCCAGAGATGGGATCGCATATATGCCGATTGATGGAGGCGGTGGTGCCAGTGCTGGTCCTGACAGCTCTGCTACTCCGGCACCATCGGTATCTTGCGACTTTGGTCCGTTTGGGGAACAGACTAGGGTCGACCTCAAGATGCTCGAAGCACAAAAACTATGTAAGATCCCCCTTTTTGCACGTTTCCCACTCCCATCTCTGACTGACTCTGCCATCGTTACTTACTCACAGCTCAATTCTTGCCGGAAAGCCGCGCCCATGTGTTCAACACTGGCGCGTCCGTTTGGGGTCTTGACTGGTGCCCTATCCATCCAGATGACCGACCGAGTAAGAATATGTTCGTTTGGTGTGGGGCCCCATTAACGCCTTGTCGAGCCAGATTGCTCTTATAAGTACTACCTCGCCGCCGCACCGCTCCCCTCGCTCACCCACTCTCCCAAAATTGGCATCAAAGTCCCACGTCCGGCACGCGCCTGCATTCAATTATGGAGCTTGGGTCCCTCCGCCGGAATCGGGGGAACTGGTGGTGACAGGGAGAAATGCATTGTGAAATGGTGCTGTGTATGGACAGCGGGCCGGCGTTGGAGCTCAAATGGTGTCCCTTGCCCTCGCACGATTCTGTATGTCCAGATTCACTCTGCTACTGGTTGTTAGAGTTTATGAGGCGCCCACAAGCTGTCAGGGCCCCCTACAACCTCTCCGAGAAAACTGGGTCTGCTCGCTGGTGTATTCGAAGACGGCTCCCTGTCGGTGTATGTGGTCCCGTACCCGCCAGATCTTGCATCCACACAGCGCTCGTCGACGACGGATCCCATCTTTGGTAGATATACCGAATGCTGGCATCATCGACCGACTAACCTCCGGCAGTGACTCTCCCCGCGCCCTTCCTTCGCATTGAACTCGAAGAAGCGGCCTTCTGTACCCTCGATTGGGGGAACGGCGAACTGATAGCGGCGGGGCTATCCAACGGTACTCGATTTCACTGCTTTCGGCGATTTGGTCTACGACTGAAAGCGTCTCAGGCGTTATTGCCGTATACAATATTGGCAGGGCACTCCGGTCACCCTCTGAGCGCAAGCAGCTATCCCTGCTTCTAGTCTAAACCATCTGATTTGTCTCCTCACAGCCGCGTTGCCCATCGGTTACTATTGCGTGCACCAGTCTGCAATCCGTGCTCTTACATGGGTGCGCGTACCTGATAGGCACGGAAAAGGTCCCACAGTGATCGCCAGTGGTGGCTATGACGGCCTTCAGTGCCTCACCGACATCCGGGAACTTGGTGGCCATGTTTTTAATCGAACCCGAGGTGCCCTTCCAACTCTTGGTGATGAAGATTTACCGACGTTTTCCGCACCACAGATGCCATCAATAGTATCGCCTATTCACCGTATTTGAGTGCTGTTGTGACGATCGATCATGAGAACACGATCAAGTCTTACTCGTTGTCACCGAGCACACTCGGAAGAGGGCACGCACTGTTAGACCCTAGTGGGCCCGTATGGGTGAGCCTGTTCCGCCCTTGCTTTGCAGTCAAAGTGTGATGACACGCTGGATGCGTAGAGCGTGAGCGCGTCAGACTACCACCCGCAACTTGCGGTTGGCTCCGCGGACGGCACGTGTTGTACGACGAATGGCTTGCGCGCGACGCGGCGCGGTGGCTATGTCGTGAGTTCTTTTCTTCCATACATTGGCGCGCAAACACATGGACGTGTGCCTTCATTTCGATATTGGCTGACGCCAGGACAAATTGCGAACAGCCGTTTCTCGTGCACCGTGTGTATCAACTTGATTACAGCCGCACAGATAAGCGTTTCCGTATGCTAGACCGCCTCAAGCCACGCGAGATGGCAGAGCGGCCGGAGGGAGGCGGAGGCGCGTGGCATCCTTTCGTCGGGGTGCAGCGTGTTGCATGGCACAGCGGGTCAGGGCTCGCTGCTGCGGGACTGCTTGTATCTGCGACGGGATCGGGGCTGTGTAGAGTTGATTTTTTGGAAGGGAGGTGGTTCAGAGATAGGGTTCCTTATGAGCGTGTGGAGGCGATGCGCTTGGAGGAAGATGTATGGACGTAGACGTGGATGAACCTGAGGATTAATGCCCAGACAGGAGAATAAATTTATGAGATGAGACGTTGCAGTTCGCCGACAGGACCTGACTCGGGAAGGGATGATCGAGGATCCGCTCAGCTTCTGGATGCACTCGTTCGATACAAGGGACTTTGTCGACTTTTACGACTAGATTTCTTGATAGATGACACGCAACCAGAATGCACGGCCTTAGAGGACGCAGTATTTGGTCACGTGTAAACGAGCACGAGATCGATCGATGATCGATGCCAGTTTGTACCGCCGTACTGGCAGGACAGACAAAATGACATGTTTTCAAGATCTTCCGCTTGACCTCTTACCCCAAATCCTAGTTTACTTGCTCTTACCTGACCACATAGCCACGCTGTGCCTCGTCAGTCGTACCTTTTATTCGTTTTCCGTGCCAAATCTCTACAGGCGGATTGTCATCCTTCCTTGGCACAAGTCCTCTAAATCCAGGGTATGTGGCTTGTATTATGTGGGAAAATAAAAATAATATAAATCTCACTGGCACGTCGTCCTGGAGGTAATACAATTATTTAGAACTCTCGCGGAGTGTCCCAACCTAGCTTGCATCGTTCATCAATTAGGTTTGTCCCCCCATGCACTGAAAACATGACTTTCCTTCATGAGTATGGATAGAAATTAGGGATTTCCCGAAGCGTTATGGTGTCAGTTTTCCTGATGAACAGTCCATGGACATATACACCAAAGGACTCGAGAACTGTGTGCATCTCAAGGCCTGCACATGGACCAGAGACGGCTCCTTGACGTCCGGAATTCTCCGTTGCCTTGGGAGGTGTCCCGAATTAACCGACATCGCCATCAATGGGGGACATTCCCGTCACTACGAGCCCATGGACCTTTTTCAATTGCATCGTCTTCGCAAAATCTCATTGATAATGCCCAGCATACCCGTTCTCATGATACTCCCACATTGGTTCCAGACGATCGGGCGATCATTGACAAGTCTATCACTTGTTTGCAAGGCACGCCTTTGTCCTCTGCATGGCTCCTACTTTGTCATTCATCTATGGGATAGAGAGACACATCCGTTACTGACACCTTGCTGGAGAATATCTCACAACACCTTTCACAGATAGAACTTCTTAATTTGGCTGGATGTCCAAGAGTGACGAACGAGGGTGTCTGGTCGATCATAAGATATAACATCAAAAACATAAAGGAGCTCGCCCTCGAAAACCTATCCCCTGATTTCGCAAGTTTTATATCGTTACCTTCTCTTTAGTTGCCTTACTGATTAGAGACTTCCAACCAGGATATGTCAGCGCTGGGGGTTGCTTGCATGAAGGCGGGTGGCTTGACATCATTGCGCTCCTTCACATCGACTATCCACCGCAAAAGTTTGACCGAGGCATGGATAAACGCCACCGAGTTGTTCCTCAAGGTGTCTCCCCTCGAGGTCTTTCAGAGTTACGTGCCCTTCTCGGACTCGATCGGAGCCCTCGCCGACACACTCTGCGTTCGCATTGTCAATCAACACCGTGACCATCTTGTCCGATTTTTTTCCCACCGACAATGTATCGGTCTCGGCGCCGTCGAACATGTTTGCGTTAGTTGTTCGAAGTTAGAAGAGCTTTTCGTGGCCATACATTATGCAGAAATGGTATATCTCTCTTTCTCCCCTACGAATCCGTTCACATAGGGATCATTAGGCACACCTTATACCGATCCTTGCCAAGGCAA